CTTTGAGGAATCTAACATACCTTCCCCTATGGCCCCCCTTCCCGTGAGGATGCTGGGCGATGCTGCTGTTCTCCAGGAGCCCGGTCCTGTCAGGGAGGAAGAGGAGACGGGAATCATGTGGCTTCCCGCCCTGTGTTTTTGCTTGCTCCTGCTCCGAGGCAGCCCCATGTGCCCACACTCAAAGAAATATGTAGACAGTAGGAGAACCGATGTAAAGGCGGCTTGCCCAAGAGGTCTTCCAAGAGCTGGGTGCCTTGGAGAGGCCCAGGGCTGGCCGGGCCCGGTGGTCACCTCACCTGGGCAGAGCTGCAGGGCGAGGCGCTCAGCCATCTTGCGCCACTCAGCATGGTCTCGGTGGCTCTGCCCCTCCTGTCTCACAGGGTCATCCCGGGACAGCAGGTCCCTGATGCTGCAACGGAGGAAGAAGATGATTATCCTTCCAATTCCAGAAAGTTTTCCCTAAGTTTGTCAACATCTGGGGCAAAAGTTCCATTGCAGAACTGAAATTCCTACGGGAGGAGAGAAGGTGAGATTTATGAGAACTCAGCTTTCAGGCATGCTCAGGAAATGATGACACAGCAGGTCCTAAGGGAGAGAGGACACCCAGCAGAGAGTAAATGGGGTGCCGGTGAGGTGACAGGACTGTGGCAGGGAGTTCTCTGACTACACCCCAGGGCAGGCCTTCCAGTGGAATCCTGCCACATTTGGTGAACCCTGCATAAGCTGTGTCGTGGGGTCCCACACAAGGCCAGCCAATTCCTGAGCCACTCCACACCTACAAGTGATGCCTGCTGTAGTTTGTTCCTCATGGACATAATTTTCTGCCTGTGACAAACTTGACAATGAGCCAAGGCCCCACATGTAGAGATCAGCTCTGCATCGCTGAGTTTAATCCTTGAGAGACAAGTGGCGTGTGTGTGTGAATTCTGAAAGCCATGATCATTTGTAGTTCTCCCCCATCCTGGCTGGCTAACTAAAGAAAGTGACAACAGCAGTACGCCAGACAAGGCACACAAGCAAAGGAAGCACCACGCTTTGAACACATACTTTGTGGCCACCTGGCTGGGAGCTTAGGTGCGCTCAGGAGGTCTGAGGCTCTGCTGAGGAAAAGAGACCATGGGCCCAGGGCTGTCCTTTCAGGACTGGGATCTCACACCACCTCTTTTTTTGCCCTGCTTCCATTTCTAGCTATGGAATCACAGCCAAGCAAGGTGAACCTTGCAGAAAGAGGGGAGGCATCTCCTCCCCAAGGCCTCCCACAGGAGAGCCTATTCACCCCTGAGCACATGGAACCCTCACGTTACTGCACCTTGGGGAAGAATGACGCTGGGTGAGTAAACCTGAGAAGAATTGAAGGGGGGAACTGAAGGGGGCAGCACCAAGAACACAGTGTCCATTCCCGGCTGGTGCAGGGAGGAGGTAGAAATATGGAGCACTTCCTGCTTCCCTGCACCTGGGAGCTCAGGTGTCACCACTGCATTCCTAGGCCATGACTTTCACACTCACCTGCACAGCTCGGTTGCCTGCTCCTCCTGTGGCTTGCGGATGCCTTCAGGTTCTGCAAACAACGCACACCCAACAGTCACAACACACACTCACTTTATGACCCATTACAAACCCTGTGCCCTGGGACACACGGGCATCAGTGTTCTTGGTGTGAGAACAGGAAACCGTGAGCAGAATATCCGAGGGATCTCAGGTTGTGTCTTCAAAAAGAGCTGGAAGGTCCCCTTCCCTATGGCACTGGACAGACTGTCCCTGACCTCGTGCAATAAGATCACTCAATGCCCCGGCAGTGAATCTAGGGACCAGTGACGACAATCCTTTATCACACTGTTCAGGAAATCTAAAATAGTGGCTGTCTACAAAAATGTCTCCAGTCCTGACCCATTCTCCATCAGACACTCTGCTGTTGGTGATTCAGAGACCTAACTGAGGCCATGTGGATGGATGGACTCTACAGAGCCTCACAGAGGAAACATCTCAAGCTACTCAAGAGGAGGATGCTTGAATTCCAGGAGGGGGAGAGTGCCGAGGCTGAGACCTGGCTTCAGGGATACACTGAGACACAGGCAGGTGTGTTTACATGCCGGCAGGAACCTAGAACCCTACGGGGACAGGACAACTAGAGAGACACATCCTGAAGTTCCTTCTCCAATGCCCTGTGAGCCAGGCTCGATCACAACCTGCCTCTCTGCCATACACAGCCCTGGGGTCAGGTCAGCAAAGGTCCTGATCACGGCCAACTCCGGGTGCCCTGGACCCTTCTGTCACAGGTCTTACTTGTGTAGCCCCAGGATGGCAAGAAACCAATCTGCTCCTTGTGCCTGACTTCCTTCACAGAGTTGATTCTGGACTTTCCCTGTGTGACCTCTCTGGCTGACATTACGTCCTCTGTCACTTCACCTGTGTGCAGCTATCCGGCCCTGCCTCCTCTCCTGCTGCACAAGGGAAGGACCAGATTGAACAAGTCCCCGGGGAGTCTTGTCCCTCCTCACGGACAGTGCACTAGTGACTGCAGACTTGGATGTTTTAAGGTTCAAATTTGATTTTAACATTGAGATTCTTTTTATGTAAGAAATCATCTCAAAATTAATTGGGTTAAGAAAGGGAGAAGAATCAGGCTGTAGCTCAGTGGCGCCACGTCTCCCTGGCAAGTGCAAAGTCCCGAGTTTGATCCCCAGTAATGAGAAAAAAAAGAAAGGGAGGGAGGGGTGAACCCACCCGAGCCCCGTCCCTGACAACCGAGGCCGGGGTACCTGTAACAGAGCCTCAGGTGTGGGCTCAGGTCGGCGAGGCCCGTGCTCCCTGAACACACTCCCTGGGGATTCCTGGGCAGGGCTGACCCCGCTGAGGCTCAGGGTCCTCAGCTCTAACATGCAGACCCCACCCTGTCTGAGGCGCCAAGACCAGAACTAGAGCTCGGGCGGCAGCAGGCTCAGCATGCAGCAGAGGCAAGGACATGGGCAGCTCACTCCTGCTTTGCCACTGGCTGGGACCGAGAACAACCTCTGCCTCTTCCACCTCAGCCCAGGAAAGGCAGATGGGATGGTCGCACTGTCAAGAGGCGCTGACTGATCCACGGGGCTGGGAATGACCTGTGTCACGGCTACTTTCACTCCACGGCATTCAGATTCATGGGGGGACATCACACAGCTTGGTTTTCCCTAACAGGTCATTCAATGACTAAAAACACCTACAAGTTTCAAAGCTTCTCTGTGACCAAAAGAGCAGAGGAGCTTGAGTGAGAGGAACAGAGGAGTGAGTTCTAGTTCCACATAGGCTACGAGGAGGCCTGGCCATGGGGCTCCTACTCAAGAAGACAGGGACACGGGTGGGGATTTACCTCAGTGGTTTTGTCGCCTGCTGCACAAGCACAAGGACCCAAGTTCAATCCCTGGTACCAAAAAAAGACAGGGACAGGAAGCCTGCTGTCTACCTTGTCAATTAGGGCAGGGCCCATGACGTGCAGCCTTGTTCATGGCTGACAGGAAGTGTAACTCTGAGATGAGACATGTGACTGGAACTCTAACGCCAGACAGGGAGAAAACCCCTGGTGCTGGAAGAGGATGAAAGTGGGGCCGCGGAGGGAGGGAGGGACACTGGAGTGCTGCCCCAGGGGAAGGCACCATGGAGGGGCAGCTTCTGTGAGGGGGAGCTCCCAGCCTCACTAATACACCTCCAAAGGACTGGGAAGTCTGCTGGCCCATGTGGATGTGCAGAGCAGAGGGGCAGTGGTCAGGAGATGCCACTCCCAGCAATATGATGGGAGCCCTGAGAGGACCCTGCCCAAACAGGTCTGAGCCGGCTGTGCACAGGCTGCAGGGTCCCTGAGGGGCTCCTGTCCCTTCCCCTCACTCTGTCCCATGTGCTGATCCACCCATGGTCTGCAACCTGAGGCCCAGCTGACAGAGACCTGCCAGGCACAAGGAACATGGCCCCAGAGCCCCCGGACCTCTGACCCTGCTCTGCACCCTAAGGGGACTCCTGGGTGGCTGCGGACGCCTCTCTCAGCCAAGACACCAGAGCTCAGCACAGAACTAGGGGATCCTGGACTCAGGAGCTGTGCTTGTAGCAGGATGATGGGGACTCACTGGTTCCATTGGGCACAGAACTCGCTTCAGGCTCCTCTGCAGGGACGGCAGCGAGGATGTGACCTTGCTGTTGGTAAGGTGCGTCAGGACACCCAGAAGCGAGGAGGGAGTGTTCTTCTACTGAATCTCACAGGAGTTCATCCACTTTCACATCCTGCTGCTCACCACTGAGGGATAGGAGAAACAGTGGAAAAAAGACTAAATCAGGATGGATGAGGAAACACAGCTTCCCAAGTGGGCCTCAACCAAAGCTTCAGGGTGAATATAACACATCTGACACTTGCTACAAAAGACAGAAGGGGCTGGGGATTTAGCTCAGTGGTTCCGGCGCCTGCCTCGCAAGCACAAGGTCCCGAGTTCCATACCCGGTACCAAAAAAAACCCATAGACATAGCAAGACCTTGTCCAAAGAAGGAAAAAGAGAAAGAAAGAGAAAGGCTAGACTATTGCTGTACAAATTATGATCAGACACTTTTGTGGTCTCAGAACACGAGCAGTGTTAACTAATTACAACTTTTTTTCTGGTACAGTGAACTTGAAATTATTTGAGTTCTATTTCATCAAAATTTATAGTAGTATATCAGACTCCTCAAGTGGCGGTGCTTTGAATCGGGCTACAGAGGCCAGGGTGTCAGGGTGCAGGATTTAAGAAACTGAATAAAAAAGGAATGAATAGAAAATTTGGAGAGAAGCTCAGCCAGTCCCAGCACCTGGAAGGAAGCTCCCTGCCTCCATCCCAAGCTCCTAGGACAGAGAAGCTGAGCTGGTCCCAGCACCCAGAAGGAAGCT